ATTATATTATGCGCAGGGGGTCGAATTGAAATGTGCGTGCGAGTAGAGGGATTTGGAGGCCGTTTGATCAAATTTGCGCGATTTTATACGCGATCGCGCGCAAAATAAATGTTTTCTAAGCTATCGTGTACGCACACGTCTGTGGCTACACGCACACACAAGCACGTATGCGCATACACGTATGTATACATATATAAACGCGCGGTGAATTGCAGCAAGGGGAAGTAGGCGTGACTGCAACGAGAGAGAGAGAGAGAGAGAGAGAGAGAGAGAGAGAGAACGCGGGCATGCACGAGCGCTCCTCGCTGCGTGCCCCCGTGTGTGTGTATGTGCGAGCTTGCAAGCTGCTCTCTCTGGAATGGGGAGGGTGAAGAGGCGACGAGCGGAGGCGGGGGGGACTTCCTACGAAGAGCTTTCATAAATTTAATTGCGTGTAACGTCACTCTCGACTATTATCCAACCTTTCCACCCACAGGAGATGGTGTGGCATTTGGCTTTTCTCTCTCTCTCTCGCTCTTAGCTCTCTGAGCTGGGTCGTTGGCATCTCTCTCTCTCTCTCTCTCTGAAACCTAAGGACAAACTCGTTTTAGTCCATAATGCAATGTGCCTCGGCGAACGACGTCGAGCATAATGCCATTGTTTCCGATGCGAGTGTACGTATAATACTGTGTATAGCTCGCTTACACACACACACACGTAGACGCGATGCGCGCGACACACATATACACGCGCGCTCACAAACACGTTATTGTATTCCATTCGCGCGGTGTCGGATGTATGCGCGCGCTCTGAAATTGTACAAAGATCGCGTAGAACATTATTAAGCGAGCGTCGACTGCTTTGCAGCGATTTTTTTTTGTTCGCGAAATAATGAATATATGATTCGAGTGATCGGGTTGCGTGTGTATAGGTGTGTGTAGGTGACACGGATTAGGTTTTGAAGAACAAGAAATATAGACAAAGTATTTTTTAAAGTGTATTGTTGATGTACGAATGTCGATGAAAAAGTTCGAAGAATTAATTTTAATCGTGAATAGATGTGAATGTCGTTACGAATGATATGCAACGTTTTTTTAATTAAAAATCGTTTGCTGATGTTTGAGAATTAATTAACAATGAGCATCGAGAGAATGATAATAATTTTTTAGCCCCGCAGGAGTAAAAATTTAAAAAATTTTTAATTTTCAAACAAAGATTACCGAAAAGCTCGAACAACTCAGAATAACTCGGCAATAATATAATATTTTCAAAAATGTATGCTATCGATAAACAAGGATATAATTATTTACAAAATACACAAATTCTTTTTTCTCCCGAAAATTCAAAGGCGTTTTAATTTTCATTAAACAATTTTCAATGATGAACAGCTTTTTGAACAATTTTAATTATTGAAATATCAATTTACCTATTATCTTTTTTTTTATAATCAATGATACATAAGCAATTAGAATTACTATTAGAAAATATTAATTCCCATAAACTCTGCACCACAACAGTAGTGTTGATACTATATTTTCCTTAATTTTATACAATATCTCAAAATATTTTTTGTTAATAAAACTGTGAATAAAACTTGTGAATAAAACCAATAAATGCATTAGCGTCAATTTCAAAATTTTCGCATCACACTCGCGTACGCTCGTGCGCTAACCTCACTTCGCGCTACATGAAGTGCGACTCATGTCTCGAAAAAGGGGGCATAAATGTGAACTTTGCACAGTACTATAAAACTACTATTATAGCTCTGCGTGCCATAAATCCGCACCTATATGCCACGGTTTTCTGTGGCATAGGTGTCGCTTTTCTGCACGAGTCTAGAGATTTAGACATGTGCATAAGTGATTCACAGCAGTTGACGCTTAGTTTGACATATGACTAGGATAATGATGGAATAATTTTTATGCAACAAAATAGTTAGAACATGAGTTTTATTTAAATAACAATGAACGCAAAGTTAAAAATTACATATATGAATGTGAGTACATACTTGAAATAAAGTGATATATCTAAAAACAGTGATATAACCTTACAAATATAAGTTGTATGCAATAAAAATAATTTATTGTAGAATGTTGCATTTTTGCAAAATTAAAGTTTTTTCATAAGGTCCCTTCAATCTTAACATTACAATTTTTCAACGTTAATGAAGAATCTCTTTTTGAAACATAAGTAAATAATCCTAAATCTGGATCATAAAATACACCTTTGTTTTCTGATAATTCATTCAAATTTGATAAATTTGCAGTGCATGATGCTTGTGTGTGATGAATAATGGTGTCATTTTTTAGGGTTACATCTGGGTTAATAATATTATCTTTGACATTGTCAATTGACAATTTTTCCATTTTTGATGTAACACTCCTGGAGTACATTCAAAAATGATAGCAGAATTTGACATTTCTTTTTGAGGATTGCTTGTAGCTGGCTGATGGATTTGATCCGAATAGAGTGTTTTATTGTAATTATGCTTAAAATTGAAATCTTAACAAATTGACTACTAGATGCTGTCTCATTTAAACGTTTAGATGATGTTGCTGTTGTTGACGTTGCTACTGATGCTGTTGAATTGTTTATTTTACATGTTGTTCCTGTAAATGTTATTGTTGTTTGAGATGTAACTTCTATGGTTGTTGTTGGTACTTGTACAGGTGAAGCCAAAAGAAAGCGTTAGCTAAACCTAAGAACAGAGCAATTTCTTTAGGCATAATTGATCCAAATTTGTTCACCCCTATACACTGGTTGATCATTTTACCCAATGAACGAGTATAAGAGGCGGTACCAAGATCATTGTAATAATATTAAGTAAAGTGATAGTCAAAATATTCATTTTATCAGTTGAACATTGTTTTATTTCATAATAACTTCACGCATTATGTACATGTTTTGTTTTTTTTTTCGTTTTTTTCTTTTTTTCTACATACATTGTACTCAAATTGGTATTTTACACAGTACTTATGAGAAGTCAAAATTTAAAAACATGAACATATAAAATTATCGAATATTTAAATACAAAAATTTTCCGTTAAACTCTGATTGCATTACATTAAAAAAGTTACAAATATAATTATAGTCCGCGGTTTTTCCCTCCACACCTTGTCCCCTCTACAGTGCCTTTCTTACTACTTTCACCTCTCACTAAAAAGAGAAACAGCTGACTACGCCGGCATTCGAACGTAAGCAGCGAAGCGTCACGGATGTAGCAGAACTCATTTTTAACAGAACGTTTAAGTGTTATTAGCCTGTAAGTACCTATTTTTTAAAAAATTTTTAAATTAAGAATATTTGTAAGAGATTATGCAATTATTTCAAAGAAATTTACAGTGACCTACGTGGAACCAATACAGTGACACACACGGATACTCCGGATGCAGAACATTTACAGATGTGAAATCACGTGGCGGTTAAACAGTAACACTCACCCACACATAGACACGGAACTTTTATTCATAGCAGATAACACCGATACCGACAAGAAATTTACAGTGATACGTGTAAAAACTGAATAGTACTTATTTGTAATAATTATTTACTATACAGCAGAACCAGATTTGCAGCTTGGAAACAGATATACAGTGATACATGTGGTGACATAACCTTAAAGATCAACTTTTCTGCCAAACTGTAAAAATGCTTCCGATATGCAATCAAAACATCACGGAAGTATGGAGCTACAATCTGATCCAGGCTTTTAAGGATATCAGAGATCAAATTAAAAATACATCATTCGTGGCGTTTGATAGCGAATTTCCAGGTACATTACTACCCAGAACAAGAGAAATTGATGAATGGACCTATATTAACGGTACCGTTCCATACACAAATCCGATTCAGTTCGGATTATCATTTTACGCAGAGTTTGAAAACAAAATTATACCCATTAACACGTGGCAAATAAACTTTCAATTCGACGAAGATGCGGACGAGTCGAATCCAGAAAGTATAGAATTTCTAAAGAAGCACGGATTTGATTTCAATCGGCACAAAAATGAAGGAGTGAGTCACGAGGAATTCAGAAAACTTTTCGTCGATACTGGAATCTTTGGACCAAATAATATTACATGGGTAACATTCTACGGCAATTTCGACATTGCCTATCTGCTCAAATTGTGCGCGAATCGATGGTTTCATGATGCCCAGAGTTTTTTAGCAACGGTGTCAGAGTACTTTCCATCGACAATTGATGTTAAAGTACTGATCGAAAAAAATTATATTAGAGTTCGATCGAAAGGGCTTTTAAAACTAGCCAGTGAACTGAGGATTGAAGTAAACAATGTTAAACAGGCGCACCACGCAGGCTTTGACGCCCAGGTCACTTTTGCGTGCTTTAATTATATTTGTAACTTTTACAATACAATGCCATCAGAGTTTAACGGAAAATTTTTGTATTTAAATATTCGATAATTTTATATGTTTATGTTTTTAAATTTTGACTTATCATAAATACTGTGTAAAATAGCAATTTGAGTAAAATGTATGTAGAAAAAAAGAAAAAAACGAAAAAAAAAACAAAACATGTACATAATGCGTGAAGTTATTATAAAATAAAACAATGTTTAACTGATAAAATGAATATTTTGACTATCACTTTACTTAATATTATCAAAGAATATAGATACTTACAAATAGAAGTCCAAAGCCCTATGCTGAAGCATTGTGAAGTTGACAGAATCAATTTATAAAATTGATATTTTTGAATTTTTTTTTATGCCAGGCAATTTCTCCATGCTTGCGGAAAATGTCTCCACCCTTATTTTCGTTTGCGTCATTTGCGTTAATTAAATAATCTATTATGAAAAGTCTTAATTTTCCAGCTATGCCATAATTTGTTTTTTAATTTACTTCGCTTACAATGATGCTACGACCTTCTAGTCAACGGCAATTAATTTCTCCAAAGTTGCGGAATATTGCGAAAGTTGAAAAAGACGCAAAATATAAGGGCAAAGATTATTAAACAATTAATTAAAAAAATTGGCCTGCAGTGCGCACCGCGCATGTGCTACAGCAGTCGACGCCTCACGCCTGGCGGGAATCTGTTGTTGTTTACATTAATCAGGTGTCAGACAAACTATTATTTTTATAGGTAATGATAAATTATTGATTACTATTATTTTTAATAGATAATTCTATTGTACTCATGGGTTTAATTATTTACAATTACAGAGGCAGGAAAGCGTACCTTGAGTTGGACTATAGAACAAAATTTGAATGCGAATCATTGTAACAAATACATTACAATAACTGCAAATCAATTTCTTAATCAATTGAATATTACTCAGAGTACTAACCCAAGAAAAATAGTATCAAATCTACAATTTTGCATTGAAATCAAATGAATTTATGGAAGCTGTGAGTGTGGTTGGTGGTGCAAAGGTGGTGCATTTGCAATTATTTTTAATCAAGAGGGTATGTGCTTTTTTGGCTATCTATAAAGTTGCCCAGATATACTTTTCTAGCAATGAAAAGACTGTGGAAAGTGACAAGAAGCTCTTACTTAAGTCATAAATATTTAATCATTTAATATTACATGAAATAGATGCCATGTAATATGTTAAAATGCCATATAATTTTTAAAATTTTAACTATTATTGACTAATTTAGTGGTAAAGTTTTATGCAAGTCTTATTTCTTTTTGAGTCTTATTTTTTTAGGAAGAGTCATAGCCAAAGGAGCTTTGTTGACAGTGCCTGAATTAATTAGCAATGCAGCGAGTATTTTGATAATGCTTGCAATGCCAAATAAACCCTCTTTACATCCAGATTTAACTTTTCTCAACTATTACCAATCCATAATAAGTAACATAAAAGATTTGAAAAAAAATGGAACAACAGTTATTTCTATTGGAGGCGGACCAAGAGACATACTTGTACCATCTTTTCAAACAATTGATGAACATGCAGATATAAATACTCTTACCACAAGTATTCCCTGGTGTTTGGAGATCTACTGATCATTTATGTATTTTATGGTGTAAACAATTAATACTTAATATTGTAAGATCTCTTTTTGATTGTGTTGATACATCACAGAAACCTCCAGCCATGACTGACAATATTGAGACTAGATTAAAAGCATTCAAGTGGCACTTGGTACAGGTACAAATATCATTTTGATAATTCATAAAATAATCTAACTTTTATCCATATTTTAAAATAATTTTACCTTTTACAGCGAGGAACTAAAGAATAACATTGGCCCAGAACAAGTTATGCAGAAAAAGTTGAATTATCAAATGAAAATGGTGAGTGAATTGAAAAACTTGAAAGGCAATATGTTTGGAGCAGTAAAGATTATTTGAAAAGTTTATAAAAATCAGCAGTAATTTATTGAATGATGAGACTAGATACACCTGTTGATATTCTATCTGTAAATGCAATTAATTTGAGATCCCAAGATTGGATTTTTACTTGTTCTACATCAGAATCTTAAGGATGGTAAGTTTTTGATTAAATACTCAATCATTTAATATTACATGAAAAAGATGCCATGTAATAAAAATATGTGAATTTCACTTAGATTTTTTCAATATTGATAATACCAACAGACCAGCATTTATGAATTGAAAATAGTGATTGCTAGCTCTTGGTTCTGTGCCTTATTATTGCTAACAAATTCAGTTTAATTAAATAGAAATAAAAACAAAGTGTCACTTACACGCAAGGAGCCGTATACTATATGCCAGTGAAATGAGTGTGGCCAACTATTATGAAAAACAGATAGAATTAAGAGTTGTGGAAGTTGCGGAAGAGTTGAAACTTGTGGAATTGACGATGGAAGCTCTTACACACAAGGTATATGATTCAACCTAATGCCTCTGGTTTCAGTTAGAGTTTAACTTCATGATATAATTTTTTTTAGCTTTTAGCTAAATTTTTGTAGTAAATAAGTTGTTCGTTTTAAAAAATTAATTTAATTACTTAAGAACCGAATATAAATATAATTTTAGTAATAGTAGTTATTGTTGATTCTATAATAACATTGAACATATAATTTTTCAGGGCTAGTTCCTAGAATCAAATTGCTAGGTCATTCGTGCAGCAATGGTATAAATACCTATATATGTACAGCAGTAGATCAGTATGCAGTATCTTATGGCGATAAGGGTTGCCATTATAGAAATCTTGCAAATGATGTTTTCATCACTATTGCAACACACAGGATATAAGGAATTATTATATAGAACATCGAGTTCTCAAACTGACTGTAGTAGTTCCTCCGAAAATTCAACAAGAAGTTGTATTTCATCCATCTCTAAAATTCAGAAGATGATTAAGTGGGCTTGGGCTCAAGGATTTGATATAATACAAGGTGCTGAACAGTTAAGAGGCAAATTAGTTAATACTAGAAAATGGATTGGTGCTACTGAAGTTGCAACCCTATTATCAAGTTTAAGATTTAAGTAAGTAATTTTATGAAAAATAAACAGGATTTACAGAAATGTTAACAATTGAAAATGTAGGTGCCAGCTTATGGACTTTCTTCGATCAATTAGTCTCAATTGAAGCCATCCAGAAATGTTTAAATGGCTTTTAAATTATTTCCCAACAGAAGAAGATTCTAAGCCTCCTTTTTATCTTCAGCATGAGGGTAAAATATTACAACCTTTTTAATAAGCCTTTTTAATGGTATGATATTTGCTCCTGTCATCATGCTCATGTCCTTGATCCAAGTCATTATAGTAAATCTCTAGGGTGAATTGGAGTTACCCTAATATGTTATTGACAAATTAAAATATTGTATCTGCGTAATGTTTTTTATTCAATAGTACATAATCATTGGAACTCTTTACTTATATTTTATTGTACTGTAAAACATTATTGCGCACTATTTCAAATTTCTAAACAATGAAAATCATAACTTATATAAATTCTTGGATACATTAATTAATTCTGTTCATAAACTACATAAATATTAACATTTTTCAGAAAATTAACTTTATTACTATTTTCTTTGTTTATATAATGTTTTACAAGCATAAAAAGGTCAATACAACATTAAAAATTTTTATAAGATCCAATTGTAAAAAAAACATGTACGAATAGTTAACACTTGTGTTATTATTAACATATAAGAAGAACATAAAAAGATCATTACAATGTTAAAAATGTTTTGAAGAATCCAAATGGAATAAAATTATTTATAAAAATTTAACACTTTGTATTGTTTTAAATCCTGCACCTAATACATTTCTCTATAGTTATCAATTTTCATCTTTGAAATTGTGGTATGGTAGTGATAGTAATAGAATGTTTCTTTATTAAAATGATTTTACGTACAATAATTGAGATATTTTAACTGTAAAACAATTTTTCAATGTAATATAATGGGGCTGCTTTGATAAATTGTCTTTTCGAACCCAAAAATTTTTTACAGATCTTGAATAATTTGTAAAGTGATATAAATTGTCATTGTAATTACTTTCAGTATAATCAATGAATCCAGCTAACAGAAAATCATAATTTTGTAAACTTATTTTCGTTGGAATTTCTTCCATGACAATAGAAGTAGTTTTAACATAACTTTCAATGTCAACGAACACAAACGTTTTTATTACTTCATTCTTCAAGTTTTTGTTTATATGATTTTCAATAGTTCTAATATTTAATATTTCGTTTTCTTCTTCTGGGTTTATGATTATATAAAACAAACCGTAATTACATTCGGAGAAGAACTTTAAAATCAAGTCTCCCAGGGAAAAATCACAGAATAATTCACCTTGAATATTTTTGAATTTTGTCAAACATATAATAGGAGTCTTTTCATTTTTAAAGTTCTATAATCGAGTGTTTTGGCATATTTGAGAGCTTTGAGAGCGGTCGTTGGCTCAGTCGTTAGCATGCTAGCCTCGGAGACAATAGATCGCTCGAGGAGCCATGGGTTCAAATCCTGGCGAGGGCAATCGGATTTTTCCGATTGCCATTCGGCGGGTTGAGAACCCGTGTGCTCCGCCTGTCCCGGGGCGGGTTTTTCCCTGGAGGAGGAGGAGGAGGGTGTAGTGCATATGCACTACGTATACCCCCAGGTTTCCCCTGCCCCACAGGTCTTCGGGTCTGGGCGAATGCGGGACAGTAGGGAGGGGGGTAGTTAAATCTCCCTGCGCACGGGCTCCTAGCCCCCTGCAGGCCCTTCTAAGAAGGTGTAAGGAGAGAAAAAAAAAAAAAAAAAAAAAAAAAAAATATTTCATCATTTCTCCTAACAAACAGTCTTTCTCCGAGCATTCATTTATAACATCATTGTGAAAGTTTATAAAATTTGAAAATGCTGATAGGCATAATTCAAAGACAGTATCAAACATGCATGAAGTCTTGAATATATACATTCAGTATATTACTTTTCAAGTATATTACTTTTTTTTCATGCAGGATTGGAGGTTCTAAATTGGCATTTTTCAACATCCTGGTAAGAGATTTGATTTTTGGTCTCTGATGAATATTTTCTATATCCAAGCATGATTCTAAATATTTTCCTCTTTTTTTAACTGTAGACTTAATAGCAGAATTATTTTCAGTAGTCAACATTTTTGTTGCTGAAGAAATTTTTTCATCTACTATTGATGCCATAGCCAATATTACTTGTCCGTTTAAAAATTTATTATAATATTTAGCTATGAATAAGTGCATTGATACGGGTCGTGTCATCTCCGTTACATTCCTCAAATCAGCAAATAAAGCTTCTGATCGACCAGAAGTTGCCACGCAGATTTTCGTATTGAAAGTTTGCATCATGACATTAGTCCATGCTGGATACTCACATAGTAATGTGGTCAGGTGTTTTGCCAGTCCTGGACAGAAGTAGTCGTTATCATCAGCATCTTCGACACATTTTAAACGAAAAGTTTCTTTTTGCTGCTTTGGACTTCTATTTGTAAGTATCTATATTCTTTGATAATATTAAGTAAAGTGATAGTCAAAATATTCATTTTATCAGTTAAACATTGTTTTATTTTATAATAACTTCACGCATTATGTACATGTTTTGTTTTTTTTTTCGTTTTTTTCTTTTTTTCTACATACATTTTACTCAAATTGCTATTTTACACAGTATTTATGATAAGTCAAAATTTAAAAACATAAACATATAAAATTATCGAATATTTAAATACAAAAATTTTCCGTTAAACTCTGATGGCATTGTATTGTAAAAGTTACAAATATAATTAAAGCACGCAAAAGTGACCTGGGCGTCAAAGCCTGCGTGGTGCGCCTGTTTAACATTGTTTACTTCAATCCTCAGTTCACTGGCTAGTTTTAAAAGCCCTTTCGATCGAACTCTAATATAATTTTTTTCGATCAGTACTTTAACATCAATTGTCGATGGAAAGTACTCTGACACCGTTGCTAAAAAACTCTGGGCATCATGAAACCATCGATTCGCGCACAATTTGAGCAGATAGGCAATGTCGAAATTGCCGTAGAATGTTACCCATGTAATATTATTTGGTCCAAAGATTCCAGTATCGACGAAAAGTTTTCTGAATTCCTCGTGACTCACTCCTTCATTTTTGTGCCGATTGAAATCAAATCCGTGCTTCTTTAGAAATTCTATACTTTCTGGATTCGACTCGTCCGCATCTTCGTCGAATTGAAAGTTTATTTGCCACGTGTTAATGGGTATAATTTTGTTTTCAAACTCTGCGTAAAATGATAATCCGAACTGAATCGGATTTGTGTATGGAACGGTACCGTTAATATAGGTCCATTCATCAATTTCTCTTGTTCTGGGTAGTAATGTACCTGGAAATTCGCTATCAAACGCCACGAATGATGTATTTTTAATTTGATCTCTGATATCCTTAAAAGCCTGGATCAGATTGTAGCTCCATACTTCCGTGATGTTTTGATTGCATATCGGAAGCATTTTTACAGTTTGGCAGAAAAGTTGATCTTTAAGGTTATGTCACCACATGTATCACTGTATATCTGTTTCCAAGCTGCAAATCTGGTTCTGCTGTATAGTAAATAATTATTACAAATAAGTACTATTCAGTTTTTACACGTATCACTGTAAATTTCTTGTCGGTATCGGTGTTATCTGCTATGAATAAAAGTTCCGTGTCTATGTGTGGGTGAGTGTTACTGTTTAACCGCCACGTGATTTCACATCTGTAAATGTTCTGCATCCGGAGTATCCGTGTGTGTCACTGTATTGGTTCCACGTAGGTCACTGTAAATTTCTTTGAAATAATTGCATAATCTCTTACAAATATTCTTAATTTAAAAATTTTTTAAAAAATAGGTACTTACAGGCTAATAACACTTAAACGTTCTGTTAAAAATGAGTTCTGCTACATCCGTGACGCTTCGCTGCTTACGTTCGAATGCCGGCGTAGTCAGCTGTTTCTCTTTTTAGTGAGAGGTGAAAGTAGTAAGAAAGGCACTGTAGAGGGGACAAGGTGTGGAGGGAAAAACCGCGGACTATAATTATATTTGTAACTTTTTTAATGTAATGCAATCAGAGTTTAACGGAAAATTTTTGTATTTAAATATTCGATAATTTTATATGTTCATGTTTTTAAATTTTGACTTCTCATAAGTACTGTGTAAAATACCAATTTGAGTACAATGTATGTAGAAAAAAAGAAAAAAACGAAAAAAAAAACAAAACATGTACATAATGCGTGAAGTTATTATGAAATAAAACAATGTTCAACTGATAAAATGAATATTTTGACTATCACTTTACTTAATATTATTACAATGATCTTGGTACCGCCTCTTATACTCGTTCATTGGGTAAAATGATCAACCAGTGTATAGGGGTGAACAAATTTGGATCAATTATGCCTAAAGAAATTGCTCTGTTCTTAGGTTTAGCTAACGCTTTCTTTTGGCTTCACCTGTACAAGTACCAACAACAACCATAGAAGTTACATCTCAAACAACAATAACATTTACAGGAACAACATGTAAAATAAACAATTCAACAGCATCAGTAGCAACGTCAACAACAGCAACATCATCTAAACGTTTAAATGAGACAGCATCTAGTAGTCAATTTGTTAAGATTTCAATTTTAAGCATAATTACAATAAAACACTCTATTCGGATCAAATCCATCAGCCAGCTACAAGCAATCCTCAAAAAGAAATGTCAAATTCTGCTATCATTTTTGAATGTACTCCAGGAGTGTTACATCAAAAATGGAAAAATTGTCAATTGACAATGTCAAAGATAATATTATTAACCCAGATGTAACCCTAAAAAATGACACCATTATTCATCACACACAAGCATCATGCACTGCAAATTTATCAAATTTGAATGAATTATCAGAAAACAAAGGTGTATTTTATGATCCAGATTTAGGATTATTTACTTATGTTTCAAAAAGAGATTCTTCATTAACGTTGAAAAATTGTAATGTTAAGATTGAAGGGACCTTATGAAAAAACTTTAATTTTGCAAAAATGCAACATTCTACAATAAATTATTTTTATTGCATACAACTTATATTTGTAAGGTTATATCACTGTTTTTAGATATATCACTTTATTTCAAGTATGCACTTACATTCATATATGTAATTTTTAACTTTGCGTTCATTGTTATTTAAATAAAACTCATTCTAACTATTTTGTTGCATAAAAATTATTTCATCATTATCCTAGTCATATGTCAAACTAAGCGTCGACTGCTGTTTTTTGGTAATTATTATTCTATAATTATATTACAAATGTAGCATGCTTATCAATGACCTAAAAATGAGAACCGTTTCAAAAGAATCGACCAGTTTTCAAACATTTTTAACCTTAACCAATAGATGGCGAGTTTCTTTATCTACAAATCTGCAAGTGGTCTAGTCAAAATAATTATATATATTATGTACTCAAGTCTCTATCATCTTATAATCCGGATTGATAATCTGACTTAAATCCATAAATTTATCATCTTTGGTTATTAAATTTTCAAGATTTTCATTTTTCAATATTCTCAGTGCGTCAAGTGTGCGCACTTAATTACATGGATAATTTTAATTTTGCTCTATCCGACTCTAGGCGACA